GGAGATTCCGAGGTAGATCTTCGATGGCTGTGTCCGTCAGCCGGTCGTCGTCACACCCTCCATTACAGCGCAGTGTCGGCTCTTTTGGCCCGTTGTACCGGTGAGCTGTCCCTAGCGTAGTACGAATTTGCAACTGGGCGAAACATTGTCTCACACCAGCGGCTTCGCCGCTTCTGAACCCCCCGGCCGAGCGGGGCGGCACAAGCACTGAACCCTTTACGACACCAGGGTTGCCGCTGCACTATGTCACTGGTCACGTCCAAAGGCCCTGGGCAGTCCACCATGGTCCCGAAATGAACAAGGGAGGGATGTTTTTTTTGTCAGTTGCAGCCTCTCAACAAGAACCCCATGAGCATTTGTGGCGTTAATCCAAGAGTACAACTAGGCTCCAAGCTCGTCGTAACCGGCGACGGAAAAATGAAGGCAACGACTCCTAGAGAGATTAGAATGTCCTCGCTGCCTGATCACTCGGGTCAGGAAACTCCTTTCACAGTTTCCGTCAGACTGGAACCTGAGGGTAACGATCTGACCTGGATACCCATAGCAAGGCAACCTGATCTAGCTCTACAAGCATCACTGTCCTGGGTCGTGTAAGACCGGCAGTTGCCCTTAGCCTGCGCATCGTAGCCTTCGTCATAACACCTAAGAGTGCTTTGCTGCTGCGACTGGGTTAAAAAATCAGGTCGCTACAGAATGGGAGGCGCCGCAGACTGCCACATTCGCACAATACGGTTGACTGCGGGTGGTCGGTGTTATTCGTCTCCCCTGTCTCCGTTTGGAGACACCCACAGCGCTAGCTTTAAATAATCGGCGGGGCTCATGGAGGATTTCACATCAAGACCCGTCTGAGTGAAACCCTCTTGGTTGTTACAGTAAATTAGGTTACTCATCTACGCATGCTTGTCATCACTCACAAGCGCACGAAAGAGTCAAGAAATCTTAATGTTTCGAAATAGGAGAACCTATTGGTTTGTTAAACGCGTGGGCGTGGCACGGAGCCCCTGCAACTGCTGCAATTTCTTGGATTTCCTGGTTCGTTTTCCAAGCAAGGTCACCCAACGCTACCTAATTAGCCATTTTGGCGGGCCTGACCAAGTATTGATCTTCATTGCGAATGTTAGCAGTGCTTGAAGTTGACGATGACGGATACTTACAAACAGGTCCGGTAGGGGATTTCCATGAAGCCACCTGCTCGAAGTCGGAATGGTCAAATTGCTTCTTCATGCCGTCTGGACCCCATCTGAACCACTTCACAGTGTAAATCTCGTCGCCTTTCGAGGCGTGAAATCCCAATGCGTCGCAAGCTGTGTCTTTGAGGGCACGGATCACCCACTGATGCGTGCATACTGGACCGAGCTGTTCACAGACGCCGAACACCTCCCACTCCTCGGGGCGATACCATGTGTGACCCAGTATGGTGTTCGAAAGAGCCAAGCCATGTTCGACCAAGTTCGGCATGCCAGGGATAGGAGTGTTCAGAGACCTCCAAATCCGCTCCTTGTCAGGGCACCCATCAACCCCGAGCAACATGTAGTCTTGAGGTCGCATGGCATTGCTCCATGTACGGAGGTCCCGGACGGCAACGTCGAATTCGTCGTTGCCGAAGATGGAACCGAGCGACATGTACCAGATAGGCTCAGAGACATCTGTCGCCCACTTTCTAGCGTCGTCGAATGTTCCCCAAAGCCCATTGCATGCCACATGTTTGTAACAGGCAGCCTGCAGCTTTTCGAGGTTGCGTTTCAAGGCGAGCTCTGAAAGGTCCAGCGCATAATACTTCACAGGTTTGTGCGATGCCTCTAGCGCGTCCAGAAATGGCTTGACTTTATTCACGTCGCTTTTCGGGTTGAGATGGGTCGTTAGGCGACGAAGTCTCAGAGGAGGTTTTAACTCACCCGCAGCCGAGGTCGACAAGGACAGAGCCAGGAGCGACATGGCCGGCAATGTCAGTGCTCCAATGCTGGAGAAGGCTGATTTCGTCTCTTGTTGCGTAGTACTCCGGAAGTGCCGAGTATTTTTCGAAGAGCTTCAGTGCAGAATCATCTCCCCACAGCACGGCGGACGGTAGATATCGCTGGCCGGTCGACGGCCGGAGGAGGCTTCGTTCAAGCTTCTCCTTGAGCTGAGACGCTACTGGTCGGCCGATCGCGAGAATTGAGATGTCCGCATTGCTTGATTCCATTGCTTCCAGTGGATGATGGTCCAGATTTGTAGGCGTAATGTCTCTATTAGGACTTATCCTTGACGCAATGCAAGATATCGGGTAGTGTCAAGATAATGTGTACGAAACTTGGGTGTGGAAATGCAATATACGTCGGCTGGCTAGGCCGCATTAATAGTCAGTATGGCACTGTCCGGTGACAGAAACTGTTTCTGGGCACTGTGTGACGTTTTTCGTACCATGTGTAGTCGTAGCTCATGCAGACGCTCAGACCAGTTCGACGCGTCAGGTTGTGCCAGTCGTGCCGAGAGAGCCGCGGCCAGACGTGGCAGGGTGTGTCTTACATTGAGCGGGTCTGAGACGGTCTGGCTGTGAATGAATGAGTTGCAACCCGAAAACTCTTGATGTATTGATGATCATTCACACCGTTTGCTAGGCTCGCATACGTGCTAGTACTGCCGAAAACACTGTCTCAGGAGTCCACCCCGCACGAGCACAGTAACTAGCTACCCTGTCCCCCGGTGCGTCGCCGCGTCCGCCTGGTGTTTGTGGCAGTCATTAAACTCGCCGAGGAATTCTGACACGTACTCAGGGAGCTCGAGTCTGTTGTACTCGCTGGGGACAGGTTCGCCCACGGCCGTGTGCACGGGCACGACCCCTGTCCATACCCTGTTGAGCGCTTCTTCGTTCTCTAAATCACTCTTATCATCCACAGCCCCACCGTCACGTATCTTCGCACTACCAGACTTGATCTTCACCCGCAAAATGCCTGTACTCTGCATCTCCGCCCCGGTTGGGGGTAAACGTGTGTTGCGCCAACGGTGCGGCACGACACTGTCAGTGATCAGCTCTAATGCGTACATCTTCTCGGCCTCATCGGTGACGAGTGACGCGTGACCGAAAAGCACAGCGGAACGGTAGTTGTAACTGTGGTTAAAGCCTGAGAGGGCTAGGACGATGCCGTCCACATGTGACGCAGCAACGCAGACAGGGACACCGTCCTCACCTGCGGCTCGGCCAACGTTAAACATACGCGCAGAAGCGAAGCCATGGATATACAAGTCCAAGGGGTCGCCGATGGAGGCGCTGGGGCGGTCGAACGAGCCCATCTGACCGATCATGGGAAGGGTGACGGGGAACGCAGAATCCGGAGGGGTGAAGGAGACATGGAGGATCTGGCTTGTGTTGATGAGTCCATGGATCCTTTCAAGTGCGTAGATGCCTGTGCTGTCCTTAGCCATCGTCCATGCTCGTCGCAGGATAAATGACTGACCTCGCTCGCCACGGCGCTTGACGACATTGGTTGCGTCCTTGGGATATTCGAGTTCGTAGCGTCCCATCTTCCAGGGTATTGTTTTTGTTTTTTTTTGAGTTGGTGAATTACTGGAAAGTTATGACAATCGACTTCAATTGAGGTCTTAGTGGAAGTTCTCGCACGACTTGAGAAGTTGTGTGTGGGCGGAGAGTACTGCTCTGGCTGCCTGAGCCCACGTTACAGTCGCGCGGTCTGCTGGCACTCGGGCTGTTCTTCTGCCCATCTACTCTAACCGGAGATGCGTTGGGTAGAAATGCGGGGTGGTGACACCTGTCACTCAGCTAGGTCTCGAGTACGCCACAATGCTTAATGCAGGTTGCCTCTGCTCCAGCGTTTCCGCTGTGAACCGTTCCGGCAAATGGCGTTCGTCTCCCTGCAGCGCAGGTCTCGTTTTCGTAGCCACAATTGCAACCTCGTCCAATGTCATTGAGCCGGTTGCAGACAGTAGCCTACTACGAGCCTGGATAGTCGAGTCGTCAGCTCAGACATGAGAAAT